AAAGAATCTAAGTCGATGCCATAGGAGTCAGTTATTTGTTTCACAGCACTCACCCAGGATTTAAGAGAGGGGTTGGCCAGTTGTTCTCTGAAGCAGATCTTAGGTAAACTGGTATCATTCATTTGGGACAGTTTATGCCAGTACCGGACTAGTGCTAAATGGCAGGTGGCAGCTACAGAGATAAGGCCTACTTCTGCCCTAAGTAAGGAGGCTGGAGTACTCCGCGGGACACACAAGATGGAACGAATGAAGGTGTTCTGTGCGGCGTCTAGGGTCGAAATGTTTGTGTATCCCCAGATTTCGGCCCCAAAGGTCATTTGGCTGGTCCGATTGCAGTGGTACTTATAATTAATTGTGTTAAATCCATTTCCTAATATATTTTCCCTGCTCTCCAGACTTTCACAGGAAGCTTTGTCTACTGCCTACAGTCTGTTCTTCCAGAAGGGATAGTGAAGAGATTGTTAGAGGAAATCGGCTATGTTCCAACCACCTCCACAGAGTTTTCACTGGTCAAGAAGCTGAATGGGGAGGAAGCTGAACAAGCTGCATTTGAACTATTCCTTGCCAGAATAGAATGCGAAGATCTCCTTGAAATGGCAGAGGACGTCAGGGGCAGTGATCTGGTGGATATCCTGCAGAAGAGAGGCCAGAAGCATGGGTGTCCTGAAGGGAACCTAGCTGGAAAGCACCAGCCCAGCCAGAGAAAGGGATGCCAGAGGGAAAAGAATGAGACAGAAATAGAAGGATTCCTTGATCCTCAGTCAGGATACTGGACACGTAACAAACTGGTCGTTGATGGAAGTGAAAGAACTGACCTCCGAAGTGAATTCATTCTTGGATGTCCTGCAGAGCCTCAGCCGGTCACTTCTGAACCCACTCCTGAGCAAAACACAAGTGAAAGGAACCATGAAGAAGCCTTTTCAACCTCTGGTATCAAAAGCTCTGACAGTGAGGATTTTTACAGCGATATCGTCATTGGGCAAAAGCCTCTCCAGTTCACAGATCTCCCTCCTAAAGCATCCGATGATGCTGCTCAGGCGGCGGGATTTGTTGGGACAAGGCTTCTGTCCCCTGATGCTAGTGGCCCACAAGCCTTGGCAATACTAAGCGATGGCACTTTGGGAAGTAGCCGGTCTTACGACGACTGCAGAACCCAACAGTCTTGCAGGGCGATGGTGGAATCAAAGATCTGCAGGGCTGTGAACTGTCTGAGCATTCATGGACCAGATCCTACTGATCAGCCCAAAGAGCTGAAAGGAAGCTCCATTCTGCACAGCAGTAAACTCACAACATACGACTTCTCCAGTGAAAAGGAAGTTCACGACTTGTTCTCTAGTAAGCCAAACATGCAGATGTGTAAGGGGAAGTTGATGTGTCCTGTAGAGGAAACTGTGCAACAAGAACAAACAAACAGAACTAGCAAAAGAGACCCTCAGCAATCTGACCATTCTAAAATGAAGGTTGTAGCAACTGGTGGAGATAAACAGGGCTTCCTTGACCTCTATTCTGCAACCGCTCTCTCCTGCAATATCCCTGGATGTGAGTGCCCCACTGTTGGTTCAAATTACAACAGAGTCCTAGAGGCCATTCCTAGCTTATGTGGAACCAGAGGGTATTCTAGACATGTTGGAGGGCAACCTAGCTCATGCTGCACTGCTGCTCCTGAAGCATCATATCATGGTGTCATTCCTGCAGATGCTTTGTGCCAGCCAGAAGGATGTTCTCTCCCTGCTCGTTCTGCAGGCTATGATACCTGTGTTGCACCAGTGAATGAATCTAACCCAGAGAGTTATGTTCTTGTAAACAAAAATGACTAAGAAACGAAGTCCATGGAGCCTGCCATCGCCAAACACAATTCAATTTCTTGGAGGAATCAGATTATGGTGGAGTCTAGTGGCACAGGCATGCTACCTTTTCGATTCCTTTCCACAATTCTCACTTGCCTTCGGTAAAATTAAAAACAAGGATTTATCAGGGATGCAACTAAATCAGAGGTAGGCAACCTCCTGCTATTCAGATGTTGCTGGGCAGTAAAGCTCACAACTCCTTGTCATGAGCTGTACTAGCTAGGACTCGTAGGGTTGCTACAGTCCAACAATATCTGTAAGGATATCCTGAACGGCACCTGCCTTCTCCCTTCCAGCTGAATTATAAGAGGCTCTTCTGAATGCATTCATTCTGCACAAGTACAGCCGTCAACGTTGGGATTCCTAACAGAAGACAAATCAGAACGAGGTTCCACAGCAGGGGTAGGGGCTTGGTTCTCTAGTTGTTTCAAACTTCATTCAGTAAGTCACTTACAGGTGTTTTCAGACATATGTACTGTGTCATTGATATATACTGGGATATATATGGATGCTTAAGATATGCAATAATATGGAAGAGTTGCAGATGGAACAGATATGGAAGAGTTGCAAATGCCTTCAGGGTTTGTTACTGATCATAGGTTTTTGTCAGTCCCTTTTATTTGTGAATTGTACTCTTAATAATATAGCAGATGAGAATGAATGTACACATATGTCTGTGTGTGCTGTATTTGTATGTGATAGTTTCATTCACCATTGTACGGACAAGATAGTTCTACTGGTCTAGATTTCAGAAAAGACCTTCTTAGAAAGGTGGGCCAGAATCCTGTTAGTAGTTTTAATATGCTTATGCGAATTGTGAAATAAGTTGTGGTGGCAAACTGCCACTAATTAAGTAAGGTGTTGGTTGTGTTCCTGGCTCCGTGGACTGTTCATGTAACCATGAACATAAATGATATTTGTGCTAAATAAAAGCAGTTCACTGTTCACTTACACATGCATACTGGTCTAAGGACCGTAAATAAATAATAATTATTATTATTACATATGCATAGGTCACCAACAGAATTCTGGCTATAATTGTTTTACAATTGATAACAAAATTGAATGCAAGGAATTGAAATGTCAAATTCTATACACAACTATGCAAAAATACATTCAGCTGATCTTAATCTCAGGCTACCTCTGCCGATTTTCATTCAACCTGTCATATTTTAAATATTTGTTGAATGAAGAAGCACACCCATTATTTCATTACTGCACACCACATGCCGTATCAAAATCCAAATCTTCCAGGTTCTCATCCCCTCCAGAACTTCCAAGTAGCTGGAGTTCAAATTTCAAGGCAAATTGGTACCACTCTGCTGGTCTAGATTTCAGTAAATACTTCCTTGGCAAACACACTTGTGTTGCTACTGTTTGCAGACTAGAATCTCTGCCAAATATTTCTCCATCAACTTGAAAAAGTAACTATGACTAGAATAAAAGTATGAACAAGAAACAGTTGTGCTTACTTTCACAAGAAACATTGTAGCACAATGCCACTTTCCCCCAAATTATAAGGCTAATAAATACGAAACAGTTGTGCTTACTTTCACAAGAAACATTGTAGCACAATGCCACTTTCCCCCAAATTACTGTATAAGGCTAATAAATACCAATGACATAAAAGCAGTAAGAAGTTGTGGGTTTGGGGCAAATTAGAAGCAGAACACTGCAAGGCACGGCAGCCCTCTTGAGCAGGCCTGGAAATATTGTGTTAAAAGCCAAAAGTGGTGAACCTTGAAAAAGTTACTGTTTTCCTGTGGTTATATATACTTTTGGGGGGCGGGCTTGGAACATCTTTTTTTAAAACAGTTCTGGACTACTGTATAGCCTTTCTAGACTGATTTGACATAAATAAAAATATTTGATTACTTGGTGGGGGGGCTTGGAACATCTTTTTTAAAAACAGTTCTGGACAGGACTACTGTATAGCCTTTCTAGACTGACTTGACATAAATAAAAATATTTGATTACTTGATTAAACTAGCTAATTGAAAGATCTTCTGATAAGCAGTTTGATTTTTATACTGTTCATCCCAGAACAGGGTGGTTTAAGGACTACTTGAATGTTTCCCAAGGATCATTTTAGGATTGGGGAATTTTGTGGCCAAGGTATTTTCAGCGTCCCCATTCAACCAAAAAAAAAAGTACAGTGTATGTGTTATACCTCAAGAACTATGATGTTCCAATAAGAATACGTAAAAATGTTTTTAAACTGTTCCATTTAATCTGAATAAATATTAAAGTGCACATTTAAAAAATAGCTTAAAACAACATAAAAACGTCCATAAAATAGCCAGACAAGGAATGTTAAATTTTCTCTCCAGACACTCGCTTCTTTGCTCCTTTCTTCACTCTGCCAAGCGATAGGATTTTCTTTAAACAAACAGTATTACTTCCCTTAACTATTTTGAACAATAACATTTTTGGATATTACTTTGTAACTCCACGTATAAAAATGAATATATTTTACAGAAATCATGCAGTCTCTGTCCCAATTACTTTCCTGTTCTCAGGATAAGGCTTGTATTTACATCCCAAATGGGCATTTTCACATCACGGTAAATTCAGAATGGCTGAGAACGCTGACTAGCCATGGCCACACATCTGTGCTTTGTTCAGTTACTTCTGGGTACCGCCTTCTGCCAGAGGAAGCAGCTAAACTACAGATAGGGATCATGTGGTTCTCCAGAGGTTGCTGGACTGCAACTTCCATTATTCCAGGACAGCACATGGGTAAGAGATTGTGGTAGTTGCCATCAAACAACATCCAGAAGGCCACATTGCCTCTCTTCCCACCCCTTTGGCCAGGCTAAACAAATCAGGGACACACACCACAGCCTAGGGGCTGTTCAGGTCTGAACTTTGACTCCCGGAGTGTTATAACAGGGTTTAATTCTTGGCCTGATGGTTCTACTCATTAGAATAGCTCAAGTGTTGATCTGCAATAAGGTAAAGGTTCCCCTTGACAGTTTTTGTCCAGTCGTGTTCGACTCTCATCCCCATTTCCAAGCCATAGAGCCAGCGTTTGTCTGAAGACAATCTTCCGTGGTCACATGGCCAGTGCGACTTAGACACGGAACGCTGTTACCTTCCCACTGAGGTGGTACCTATTTATCTACTCGCATTTGCATGCTTTCGAACCGCTAAATTGGCGGGAGCTGGGACAAGCGACAGGAGCTCACTCCGTTGTGTGGATTCGATCTTACGACTGCTTGGTCTTCTGACCCTGCAGAAGTGTTGATCTGCAATGCTAAGCCAAAAAGGGAGGAATGTGTGGCTTTCCAGATGTTGGCCTGCAACTTCTACTATAGTTGGTTGTTGGCTATCCTTCCACTAGAGCAGACAGAAGTGGCAGCCCAACATTTCTGGCAGGCACACAGTATCCTGAACCAGTGGTCCCTAACCTTGGGCCTCCAAATGTTCTTGGACTACAACTCCCAGAAGCCTTCAGCACCTCTGCTGGCCAGGATTTCTGAGAGTTGAAGTCCAAGAACATCTGGAGGCCCAAGGTTGGGAACCACTGTCCTAAACCATGGGAGGTAGACCCAAGCAGAAGCAATGAAGCCACACATTTGCTTATTCACAAGCAAGCAGCCTTATGGATGCTGTTTTCCCATGTACGAGAATCACCTTCCCACAAGAGAATTTAGACTTGAACCCACTTGCACAATTGGGGTAAAGCTGGTAATTCAGAGCTGGTTTAGTATGCCAATAAAATGTTTGAAGAAGGCTTACACATACTTTCAAAGGTATTGTTTTTTAATCATGTGAGCCGCCTTGAGTCCTTTTTAAGGAGAAAGGCAGAACATAAATATTTTAAATAAATAAATACAATTTTAACATCAGTAACTAGCTTGAGCAATAGTACCACTCATCGCTTGGAAAGATTTGCAAAGAAACAATTGCTTTTGCAAATGCTGCTGAAATTGGTCAGCTGCTTTGTCTCAGTCCAGCAGCAACTGATGGTAACACCTGCCAATCCTGACTGCATCACAGAACTGCTTGCTTTGGCTAGAGTAGGATGGGATTTGTGTGGCTTACAGAGGCCTTTTATGCAGCCCATGAAGCCCTATCCAATGGCAAAGAATCCTGCCTCTGGTACACCTTGTTTTGGTCCCAAAGTTTTCAGTTTACTTTAATCAGAAGGGATAAGAATCTAGGATTACTTAGTCCTGACAATCACACCTGTACCGAAGTTTTATTGCTTCTCCTCCCACTTTGCCCAATTTGGAGGTGGTGGGGAAGAAATCCCAGAGTGGTATGACAGATAAGAGAGTCATTCTGCTGCTTTGAATGGGCAATGAAAGGAGTGCAAGGGTTTTGGACTTGAGGAGCAAATAGTGCAAGATTCATACAGCTTCAGGTCATTTAGGAAAACTAGCCACCAAGAACTGCTAAACACCAAGGCATGTGTTGGCTGGTGGGCCCTCAGTATCAGTATGAAACCAGCTGTTAACAGTTCCCTCCTTTCCTCTGTTGAACAGAAGGAAGGATGCAGTGGATAAAGAAATCCAGTGTATCTTAAAGCCTCCAATCACACAAACAGGCAGTGCTACAATGAACAAGTGGGTCCTGCAATAAAATACAACAGGGTAGTCTCCCCTCCTAAAAGGAATACTCCAGTTGGGGGCTTCGCTGAGCAAGCCATTCTACTCTTCCCCATCTTCTTTTCATTTCAAACTCTCAGTCTGCATTCTGCAGCTACTAAGCATGCAGGCGTGGGGTGGGGATACTGTTCCACTGATTTTTTCTTTTAAAAAATTCTTTTTCCAAACATCATTTGGGCCCTATTAAGCACCCCTTGATTCTGTTGGCCCATTTTGCCGACAGTGCTGTTCGTATGCACAACCAGAGTTACCTGTTAGGAGGAGTGATTATAATGTTTATAGAAGGGAGTTCAGGGAGATATGTGTTTCTCTCTCATTTTACCCTAACAACTATCTTGTAAAGTAGATCAGACTGGGACAGTGACTGGTCCAAGGACATCCAGTGAGTTTGACGACCAAGTGGGTTTCCAACATCTTGGTACAGGAATCTGACTCAGTCTTTGGTCCATGAGTTAGTTGCGTATGACTCTCCAGATGCCAAATTTAAGCCCTCCCCCCCCCCAAAAAAAACCCACAGGAACTCAAATTTCTTAACTCAGACCCTCATGTGCTTCCCACATCAGACAGCAATTCTGCCTTGTTCAGCGATTCCCAGGACCCCGGATCACCTTGTACCTCACATTTTTTCCAAATTCCTCTTTTTTAAAAAACGTCCCTGGAGGGACCAAGAGCACACATTTAGTTTTAAAAATGTTAAATGTATTAAGTTAAAAATGTTTTCAAGAACATTAATTTGGGGGTAATGGTGTAATCCTCAGAGGTTTGTGAGCATAGCCCCAACCCCTGGAAGTGGCCTTACACAGGCTAACCATTATACCACATTGTCTCAGCGGAGGCACACTGATGAGAAATTAATCACAGTGATTCTGTGGTTAACAGTAACAAGAGGAAAAACTCACAATAAAGACAGAACTGATGTCCTGTAGTGTTACCCAAAGAGGCTGAACATGACCACAAATTGTGTTCTGGACTGATATAATCTGTACATACCACTTGCAAAAGGAAAAAAATTCTAAGTTAAAGACAAACACAATGTCTCTAAAACCACTTATCTATTGGTACTATATGGGTTTTCTTGGCAACGCTACCTCCCAGCTTTTCTTCAAATAGATTATGATTGAATAACAGTAAGACTTATACATGTATTACATTTTACACAGGCCCTCTCAAAAAGCAGACTTTGCATCAAACTGTAAAAACACACAGTATTTGGTAGTAACAAGAGTAAACAATATATATAACTAGAAGAGGGGGAAACATGCAAATTTTAAATGTCTTTTCATCCAACAGGAAAAAAAAGAGTTATGTTAAAAACTAGCTTACAGAAAACATGTTATTTAGAGAGAGAAATATATGGTAAGTCTAGGGACACCTATAGTATGTGCTCAGTTGTTGTTTTTTTCCTTCTTGGTTTTTCCGCCTAGACATCATCCCTCAGACAAACCTCTACACTTTTCTTTTAATTTCATAAAGCTGTTTGGGGACTGAGCAGAAAACGTATTTGAAGTACAGAATAAAGGGAGAGGGTAGAAAAGAGCCGACACAGGCAAGTTTTATTTCCACCTGAAACCCATCCCCTCGTGTGGAGACTTCCTGCACTTGAAGCTCTTGGGTTTTCAAACGAAAACTCATTAAGATTCAGAGATGCATGAAAGGATCCAGTTTTATGAAGGTCCATGGCTTGGAAAAACCATTCTCTTTTTAGACTACAGCCCGCCAAATCCCCCAGTCAGCATGGTCAGCCACTACACTAAGTGGCCATCCTGGGAGTTGTAGTACACAAAAGATGTTTTGAAACTCATCCTGGTCCTAGGCCCCAATCCAGAGAACCTCTTGGAATGTGGCCAAGGGCTCACAAGCCCTAGAGCTGGCCTTCTCAGTTGTTCAACCTTCATGTGGGGACAAAAGCTCAGAAACTCACAGATGTAGAACGCATAGGTCTTCAGATTAGTGCTACAACCTGAGACATCACTAAACTGCACATAATATGATGCATCTATTTCTACAGACGATGCTGCATATTGCACAGGGTTAGTATTCGGTCTTGGTTTTCTTCATACTTTTCCATCATATCCTGTAGGTCATGATCAGCTGGAAGTACCTTCAAAACAAGAAACCAAGCATTAAAATGCTTCTCTGAAAACCTGTTGGCGATGACACTCAACATAGACCGTAATGCTACTTCTATTTGAATTTTTAAGGCACTGCTTCACAATATCTCAAGGGAAACTTCCCAACTTGTCTAGCAGTGAGTGGCAGGGCATACTCCTTCTTACTCAGGGTTGAAACTTGTCTCATTTCCAGAGTTGTTGCTGGGTCCCAAGTCCCATCAGCTAAGGCCTGTGCAATGGCAAGGAACAATGGGAAATGTAGTCCAACATCCTCTAGAGCAGCCTCCTGCAACTTTGTACCACCCAGATTTTTGGGGGATCATTCATCCTACCAGCCACACACTAGAAGCAGTTGTTTTTAACTTTTAAAGCCTTATACAGTCCTATGCTGGCCATCTAAATGCTGTCTAATAAGGGACTGTTGAGATTTTCAGGAGACACATCCTCTTAACAATATCAGCATTAGCAGAGGTTTGCCCATCAAATGTGCAGGAGAGGGCTTTCTCCTCTGTGCTTCCAGACTGAGGAATGCACTACCTTCGAAGTTCGTCAGTTGCCATTCTGACTGCTTTTAAGAAAGGTATAAAAACATGCCTTTTTAAAGTGGCATACAACGTTCAATCTGCTCTGCTGTGTTGTTTTAACTATGTATTTAGTTGATTTTGACAGTTTTTATGGTGGCGTTGGTTTTACAGTTTAATGGTGTTGTGATTAATTTTTTGTTTGTTTTTAATTAGTAACATGCCTTGACCACTACTCTGTAATGGAAAGGCAAAGCATAAATGGAAAGAAAGAAATCAATTTCAGATTTCAAGTTGAAATCTATCTATAGAATCTACCTCTTCCTGGCTAGTTGACCCTTCTTTGCAAAGGGGGGAGGAAAATGGAAGCAAATGGGCTGCACAATTCATTAAGGTGGAACAAAAGCAACATATAAATGCAGACAAGAGTTATTGCCCTGTAGCTGATTAATCAAATCTCCTTTAATGCCTTCAGTTTTATAAAAACGTTTTATACATTTGGCAATAGGAGGGATATTGCTTAAAATGGGTAGGCAAGCTGGTGCCCTCCAGAAATATCAAACTACATCTTCCATAACCCCGCATCAGAATGAAAAATGGGACAGGACAGAAAGAGTTGTAATCCAAAAGAAGCTGTGATTATATATTTACACAAATATACAGATACACACTTTCCTATCCTTCACAACAAAATGATGAAAATAAACTTACAAGCACTGGAGCAGGAACTTTAAACAGTGTTTGCTTTATCAGCCAGTCTTCATAGAGCTGATGAATGCTTTCTAAATATTCCTATCAAAAAAGGGGAAAGAAATAGATTTTTGTATAAATCTGATTTTGGGTTGCAATGCAATTTCATTAGTGATGAATTCGCTTTATTCTACTTGATATTCTTTGACTGCAAAAGCCTTTTAACTTGGTTAGCTCTTTTGAAGAATAAAATAAGAATCAAACCAATTGAGTATCTAGTTCAATTGTCAGCAAAGTGGATGGAAATCAATTATTTTTAAAAAAACTCAAACTGATTTTAATAACCAAAAAACATTTTTTTTTTAAATTTAAATTGTGTTTTGAATCAATTTGATTTAAATCAAATCCACCCTGGTTGTCAGCAGTTAATACGGACTAAAATGAAGTATGCACACCCTGGGATATGTGTAAATAGATGCTACTACAAGAATAACAACAATATTAAAGGACATTTTGTGTGTAATAAGGATAAAAACACAGAATTACCATATCTTTCCGTGCATAAGACACCCCCATGTATAAGACACCGCCCAACTTTTCTAACCCAAAATTAAGAAATCTAAATGGGGTAAAAATATAGGGTAAAAAGGATCAAAGTGCTGCAGGATGGCTTTCATCTCTGCTTTCTCCTTTTGTGATAAGCCCC